AGCGCTGGTGGAAGCGCCCCCCCCCCCAAAAAAAAAAAACGCGCTGGTGGAAGCGCCCCCCATTTAACTCCCCCAAGAAAAGCGCTGGTGGAAGCGCCTCCCAAAAAAAAACCGCGCTGGTGGAAGCGCCCCCCAACGCGCTGGTGGAAGCCCCCCCCAAAAAAAAAAAAACGCTGGTGCAAGCGCCCCCCCCTCCCAAAAAAAAGAAAGCGCTGGTGCGCCTCGAATGCCTTCTGCACGCGTAGGACTGCGTCTTTAGAGGAGCGTGCTTGAACATCACCAAACCCGTGCACCCAAATGATGCACATTGGGAAGATTTGACTTCAATGCACGCAGACATGCATCCCCGAGGCATGTCAGTCCGCTTGTGAGCTTCATGTGTGCTCGTCGCCCTTCTGGATCTCTTGGCTCACAGGGTGAAAGCCTGGCTCAGAAAGTGCTCCGTGTCTGTGAGGCACCATGAAGGCATCACTTCGAGCGGCTGGTCGTGGAGGCGCCCGGAACTGGAGGAAGGAGGATCTGGACCAGACAGCGCTGATCCAGGCCTTCACGCAGCACGCTGTCCAGCATGGACCTCTGAGCCTTCTCCAATTCGGCCCGTACTTGGGCCTCCCGACCACGAGGGCCATCATGGGGGCGGAGCTGGTCCGGCTGTCTCCTATCCTCAGAATGTTCCTGGCGCAGATCCCTGCGGGCAAGGTCAAGCTCACTTGCTTGCGCACCCTGTACATCAAGTTCTGCTCGCAGCACCCGGCCGTGTGGCATTTCTTGGGGACGCAGAAGTCGCTGAGCGACCATGCGACAGACTGCGCCAACACTTGCCTGACTATGCTCGCCCATGCTCGGCGTCTCACGGATGAAGTGAAGTTCCGCCAGGCAGCGTCGGGCCTCACCACATCGGAAGCGCAGGTGCTGGAAAGTCTCCGAGACCACTTCCGAATGCAGCGGCACCAGCCCCTATCAGCCGACGAGGCTGAGGGGGGCGACTCCGGCGCCGGGGTGGGAGAGGTGGACCTGGACCACCTGTCCGACTTTTTGGCGTCACAGGAGCTGCCTGCAGATCTCGAAAAGCGGTCAGGAACAAAACAGGTTCTGAAGCGGCCCGCCCAGCGTGCGCCAAGCGCAGTACATGCCAGGAAGAAGCCCGCTGCCAGCAGCGCGGACATCTCCAAGGAGGAGGCTCTGCGGCAGTTCTCACAAGGCTGCGGCAAATGCCGTGGAAAGCCGGGCTGCTATCGCAGCTGCCATAAGTATCGTGGGTTCCGCCTGATTGAGTAGCTGATGTGTTCCTGAACAGACAGTTTTGTTCGTGTAGGGGATCGCTCCGAGCCAGCAGAAAAAAGCTTACTGCCTGCGTGGCGCAGGTCCTAGGGCAATGTAGGACACTTTGAGCACGCTACTTGTCATGCGTCTGGATAGCTTCAGCCTCAAGCCAATCCTTAGGCGCAGCCAGTGTCGCTGGCCTTCGGGCCGCGCACCAAAGCCGACTAGCTGGCCTTCGGGCCGCTCGCTTGTGCTGGCCTCGCGGCCGCTGGCCTCTGGGCCGCGAAACATCGCTGAGCAGCCAGTGTCGCTAGCTGGCCTTCGGGCCGCTTGCTTGTGGCTTAGCTGGCCTCCGGGCCGCTTTCTTGTGGCTGTGCTGGCCTCCGGGCCGCCAGAAACACCGCTGGCCTGCGGGCCGCGCAGAAGGCAGCGCTGGCCTACGGGCCGCTCGCTTGTGCTGGCCTCGCGGCCGCTGGCCTCTGGGCCGCGAAACATCGCTGAGCAGCCAGTGTCGCTAGCTGGCCTTCGGGCCGCTTGCTTGTGGCTTAGCTGGCCTCCGGGCCGCTTTCTTGTGGCTGTGCTGGCCTCCGGGCCGCCAGTGGACACCGCTGGCCTGCGGGCCGCACAGAAGGCAGCGCTGCCCTACGGGCCGCGGCGGCCGCTTGATTTGACAGGGCTGGCTTCTGGGTCGCGCGCACGGCAGTGCCCGCTGGCAAGCAAAAAGCGTGCGCTCCTCCGTGCCCAACTTGTTGTGTCTGCATGTGCACACATGGGTGTTTCTAGAAACCCCAGCATGTCTCGTTGCGCATGAGTTGCTCTGCTGCCGCTTTGCTCTTGGTTTGCTTCCTGCTTCGTTTAGCCCGCAGCATGAGCCGGAAGGCTAAGCTGACACCGCGGCAGCCGACCAGTAGCAGCAGCGCTGACCAGAGCGACAGCTTGGAGAGCTCGGAAAGCGAGTGCAGCGACTCGTCGGCGTCCGTCATGTCGCCGCCTCCGCCAGCCCCGGGGCGCGATGGGCCACCTGCTGGAGACCAGCCTGCAGGCCCTCCGTACCCCGCCAGCGAAGTTGCACAAGCGGTGTCTCCTGCTGCCAACACTCCGCCAACGGCTCTCCCCAAAGCTGCGCCAGCTGCTCCAGCAGAGCTGCCTGCTCTCCCCAGCGACTCGGCGCCCCAGGCGGACACGCCGGGCCAGCGCCGGCCTCGCTCGCCCGTGGCGCCGCCCCGCAAGGTGTCGGAAGATTCTCTTCCGCTGGCAGCTGGGGAGCCGGAGGAAGACCATGCCGGCCGCCGCAAGTCGCGCGGCGGCGCACGCAGAGTCCCGCGCTCCTCGGACACGTCCCAGTGCGCCACATGCTGGCGCTGGATCACGAACGGTGACTGGTCCTGGCATCAGCACCGGCAGAGCCCGTATCACCGTGCCTGGGCTTGCAAGGCCGGCGAGGCAGCTGAGCAAGGCGCTGATGGCCCGCCGGCCGCTGGGCCTGCCAAGGTGGTCAAGAGTGAAGTCAAGGAGGAGGAGGCGGCGTCAGAGGCTTCGGATGTCTCGAAGCGCAAGAAGAAAAAGAAAGCTCGCCGGTCCGCTCCTGACCGCGAGGCGGATCCTCGGGACCACCGCGGCCCGCCCGACGACAAGAACGACCCTTCTGGCTCCGGAGCCGGGGGTGAGAAGGCAAAAGCCTTGACCGCTATCTTTGAGAGAGCTGTGCAAGCCCTTGAGAGCTTCTAGAGCTCTGGCACGCCGCTGAGATCATCTGGCCTCAGGGCCGGCAAGCTGGCGATTTTGCGCGCGCCAGTGGATTGGCTTGGCTTCGTTGTCGTCTTTTGGGCTGATGGCCCCAGGGCAAGCAATCGGCCTCCAGGCTGCCACTGCCTCCTTCGCTCCGGCACAGCAGACGAATGGAGAAAAAAAGGCGTCGGGTTGTGCGCTCTTGCATATACATACATAAACATATATACATATACACACATGTATTTACATATATACACACATTTATATATATATATATATATTTTTATATATGTGGTGGGTTCTCATGTATGTATGTATGTATTTATGTATGTATACACATACAACATTCGCTGGCGTACATGTACACCCACTAGAATTGGAAACTGAGAGAAAACCAAACACGCTTGACCACATGGCAACGCTCTTCAAACACTGGCAGGAGGTCAGAACGTGTCAGAAGACGTCTTCTGACTTCAATATGATCGGAACATGTCAGAGGACGTCTTTTGACGTCAGAAGATGTCAGAACATGTCAGAGCATGTCTTTTGACGTCAGAACGTGTCAGAGAATGTCTTTTCACGTCAGAAGATGTCAGAACATGTCAGAACGTGTCAGAAGATGTCAGAAGTGTGTCAGAAGATGTCAGAAGTATGTCAGAAGACGTCATAAGATATCTTGTGGTTGTTGTTATCTTTTTAAAAAAGCATGTCGTTACCAGTAGACTTCCGTCCGCCGCTGTCGCTTGGCTCCGCAGCACGCTCTGCTACTGGCCCGGCACGCTGTCTCAACGCTCCTTTGCGCCAAGCCCTACGCGACCATGCCCCTGAAGCGCCCTGCAGCATCCGTGCTGAAGAAACCGGCGGCTTCGGCCGCTGAGCCGGACGTGGCCCAGCTCACGACGGCGCCGGAGATCGGCAAGTTCCTCTTCGGACACGATGAGGACGAAACTTCGCGCCGCTTGGCGCTCTTGTCCGACTCGCAGAGGCAGACGCTGACGAAAATGTTCGAGCGTGCTCGCAAAGAGCACGGGCAGGAGTACGATGCTGTCAGTCTGCAAGGGGCAGGCGCCAACCGCAAGAAAGGCGAGCTCTTGCTTGCTTGGCTTCAGCACGGCTTCAACGAGACTTACTGCACTCTGGCAGCAAAGATTGTCATGAAGCAGTCTCGCCTGACTCGGGAGGAGTGGATCCCCTTGCGCGAAGCCCAGCGCTTGTATGGCCGCTTTGAGCTGAAGAAGCGCCTGAAGAAGGGATCCTTGGAGTCGCGCCGTGATCCGGCTGACCCCGAGTTCTTCCAGGTGCGGAGGCGCCGGGAGCTTCAAGAGACTGGCACCACCAAGCAAAAAGAGCTCAAGGCGCTGTCCACAGGAGGAAAAGCTGGCGCCAAGCATGTCTGGGGCCAGCTGGAATCTGACGAGCAAGCTCCGGGCTGGTCCGACTTGAAGCTTGCCCGCCCAGCAAAGAAGGGAAGGATCGGCGCTGGTGGCGGGCGGGCCACAGACGTCGATGCTATGATGGCCCTGCTGGATGAGGGCGGGTCGGATGACAATGTCGACGCAGAGTCCGACAATGTCGGAAGCGCCGATGACGATGAGTTCGGGCAGTCTGCCGACTCGGAGGAAGAGCCGCCTCTGGCCCTGGAAGACAAAAAGTCCCGCCGGGCATCTCGCTCCCAGGCGCCAAGCAGCAAGGTCAGCTTGGACGACGTTGAGAAGTACAGCGCCAAAGTTGGATCTGTGCATCGTGAGGAGCTTCGGCGCCGCCTGTCTGCCACCGCCAAGCTCGCCACTGCTGCCATCGAGGAAATGACCGCCGCGCAGGACGCATCGAAAGGCCAGCAGAAGCAGCGGATCGTCGGCTGCAGCAATGCCTCGAAAGCTGCGCTGACACAGGCCCAGGCGGCGCTCGCAGACAACGGCGCAACTGCCGAAGTCTGTAAGCGGGCGCTGCTCGAATGCGTCAAGTCCTTGAGCGCGTGGCGCCGGACACGCGCTACATCGGCCTGATCTGTAAGTCGGCGCGCGCGCCCGGTCTAGAGCATATATATAACTTGATCATGAGCCAGTTTGTCGACTGGCAAGTTTTGTTCGAAGCCTGACAGCCAGAGATCGCTCGGAAAAGGACTTGCTGCCCGCGCTCGTCTGCGTGCCTTGATTCAACTATTATAATTTTCACACGTCATGCGTAGGTTGCTCTTTTTTTTAATCGCCCGCTGGAGCCGTTGCTTGTCTCTGCCGCACGCTGCTGCCCAAGCTGTTGCGCCTGCAGCCATGGCTAGGAGGCGAGGATCAAAGCGCACGATCGAAGAGAGAGCGCTGGATGAGGCAGCATCACCACATTCCCAACTCTGGACCTGCATCATGGAGCTTTGGGCCTGGGGCGTTCTGTCAAGCCCAATTGTGCAAAAGCTGGCGCAAGCAGCCCGCCGGAGCGGCTGCTCTGCCCACGACATCGACACGTTGGCGCAGCTAGGTGCCAGCGGTGCGCACGAAGGCAACTGCCACCGGGACTTACTGCGCGCGTACGCTGCCCGTTGCGTGACCCCGGCGCTATCGCCGGTGACTTGCCCAACGAAGGTCAGAGCGCCGGAAGGCGCGGCAACGCTCGACACTCAGCAAGCAGTGCTGCCTGCTTCCCAATGGATCCGGCGCGTGTGTGAGCATGGCTTGGACACAGCCTTGCTGGGCTCGGACGCAGAGCGCGCAATCTTCTGGGCCGCCCAGAAGGACTCGCCTCGCGCAACGGGCGTAGGCTACTACCATGTCCGTGACTTCTGCCCAGAAAAAACAATACCGCTGCTACTTTTTGCCGACGGCGCGAGCCATGCGGAGCACGATTCCATCGTGTCAGTGAGCTTCCGGAGCCTCTTGGCGCACCAGTGCGACATCGCAGAGAGCATGTTTCTCCTAGCGGCCATGCCCAAGTCGGCCACTGTGAAGAAGGAAACATGGCGGTGCTTGTGGCAGGCCTTGGTAGAAGATCTCAATCGTTTGGCCCACGGGCTGGACCACGACGGCTCCGCGCTGCCTCTCAGAGCTGTAGTGTGGGTTGTCTCTGGCGACTACGAGCATATGGCCAACGAGTATGGCCTCCCGCACTGGACGAGCCTTGCCTGCTTCTGGTGCTCTGCGCCAAAGGAGCACTTCTTCGCCTTTGCTGACATCCCAGCCTTGACGCGGTCGGCTGAAGACATGCTGGACCAGGATGCGCTGGACCATCCACTCAAAGCTTTGACCAACTACTCTCCATGCATGTTTGCCATCGACACCCTTCACTGCGTGGACCTCGGAGTGGCAGCCCACGTCTACGCCAACGTGTTCCATGAGCTCACACAGGAGTGGCCAGAAACTAAGGCGGCCAGCCTGAGCAGACTCAACAAAGAGCTGCGGTCGCACTGCGTTGCAGTCGGGTCGCCCGCGCCGCCGCTGCTGCGATACGAAAACTTCGCGCCACGGTCCGGCGAGTACCCGAAGTTGCGCCACATGAAAGGTGCCGCAATACGCCGCTTGGCGCCAGCTGTGCAAGCCCTTGCTGCCGCATATGGGCGCGGAAGCGCGCATCGCAAAAGGAGGGCTCGCGTGGCCGCTTTGCTGCGCGCAATCTATGACTCGACTTCCTGCCGAGACCTTGTCATGCCAGCAGCCAAGCACGCGGAGTTTGCCCGCGTGCTGACGGAGTTCCTGGAAGAGTATGCCAAGCTAGCCACCTCCTGCAGGGGTAACGGATGGCACGTCGTCTTCAAGTTTCACATGCTCAGGCACTTAGACGAACAGTCTAAGCACTTGAGCCCGCGGTTTGTGTGGACATACCCAGGAGAAACTTTTATGTCGTTCATGTGCCAAATCGCCAGCTCTTGCTCGCGGGGCACGCCTGGCCGACTGCTTGGCGTCAAAGTGCTGCAGAAGTACCGGGTCGCCCAGCATCTCATGCTATCGCAGCAGATCCCTACGCGCTCACGGTTTCCAGTCGATGAACTCGACGAACTCGAAGATTGACCGCTGCTGGGCCTTGAGCCGCTCAGCTTGAGCCTGAAATGGCTGCGACAGCGTGTGGAAAAAAACGCGACAACAGCTCTTATATTTTTAATATATATATATATATGTCTTGCGTTTTATATATATATATATAGATATACAGATATATCGTAAATATTATATATATATGTATAAATAGATGCATGTGCTTGCGAGTGTGCATGGTCTCACTGCACGTGCACATGCGCCCCGTGCACATGCGCCCCCATCATGGCCCGGACCGCGATTGACTTTCATTTTTGACATGCTTGCCCGCGATCGATTTTGACAATTTTGCGACACCACTCTGGGATTGAATTTCACCAAGTGAGCCGACAATGGGCCGCGATTGACTTTTGGGATTTTGCCTTGTTTTTGGTGCGTTTTTTACCTGCGATTGAATTTGGTTGCCGCGATTGATTTTTTTCAATCTCGGATGCTTTGGGCGCGTGCGCGTGCGCGTGCGCGCGTGCGCTTGTGCGTGCGTGCGGCTGTGCGCGGTGCGCGTATTGGCGTGCATGCGCGTTCGTGCGCCGTGCGCGTGCGCGTGTGCGCGTTGCGTATGGCGGTGCGTGCGGCGTGCGCGTGCCGTGTGCCTGCTGCGTCTGCGCGTGCGCGTGCGGTGCGCTTCGTGCGCTTGTGCGCGTGCGGCGTGTGCGCTGTGGCGCTGTCGCGGTGCGTGCGCGTGCGCGTGCGCGTGCGCAGGCGGGTGCGGGTGGCGGGTGCGGGTGCGGGTGCGGGTGCGGGTGCGGTGTTCGGTGTGGGGTGCGGGTGCGGGTGCGGTGTGGGTGTGGTGCGGGTGGGTGCGGGTGAGGGTGGGGGTGCGTGTGTGTGTGTGTGTGTGTGTGTGTGTGTGTGTGTGTGTGGGTGTGTGTGTGTGGGTGTGTGTGTGTGGGGGTGCGGGTGTGCGTGTGCGTGTGCGTGTGTGTGTGTGTGTGTGTGTGTGTGTGTGTGTGTGTGTGTGTGTGTGTGTGTGTGTGTGTGTGTGTGTGTGTGTGTGTGTGTGTGTGTGTGTGTGTGTGTGTGTGTGTGTGTGTGTGTGTGTGTGTGTGTGTGTGTGTGTGTGTGTGTGTGTGTGTGTGTGTGTGTGTGTGTGTGTGTGTGTGTGTGTGTGTGTGTGTGTGTGTGTGTGTGTGTGTGGTGTGTGTGTGTGTGTGTGTGTGTGTGTGTGTGTGTGTGTGTGTGTGTGTGTGTGTGTGTGTGTGTGTGTGTGTGTGTTTGTGTGTGTGTGTGTTTGTGTGTTTGTGTGTGTTGTGTGTGTGTGTGAGAGGTGTGTGTGTGTGATGTGTGTGTGATGTGTGTGTGTGTGTGATGTGATGTGATGTGATGTGGTGTGATGTGATGTGATGTGATGTGATGTGATGTGATGTGATGTGTGTGTGTGTGTGTGTGTCTAAGCGTGTCTACGCGTGTGTGTGAGTGTGCGCGCGCAAGCGCGATTGTTCGGTCTGTGCCGTTCATGGATGCGGGCGGGCGGGCGGCATATGCATGCATGCGCATGCACGGGAATGCATGCGAATACTGACACAGTCAGGAACCAGCTTCTGGGAGCCCATGGAGCCTCCTGAGATTCTGAGTTGGTTGTTGAGAAGTGCCTCTTGTGCCCTTTCCGACGGGGTGCCCTTGAATATGGCTCCACTGTTCTCACTGTAAACACCTAGGTTGTCTGAATAGTCATCAACTGTGTGCAATTCCACCATCATCATCATCATCATCATCTTCATCATCATCATCATCGTTGTCATCGTTGTCATCGTTGTCGTCATCATCGTCATCATCATCATCATCATCAGCCTCTTCATCCTCATCATCGTCATCATCCTTATCGTCATCGTCATCATCCTCATCATGCTCATCACTCATCACCATCATCCTCGTCGTCACCATCCTCATCCTCATCCTCATCCTCATCCTCATCATCATCATCAGCATCGTCATTGTCAGAAACCTCGTCCTTGTCGTCGTCGAAGAAAGCAAGAACGAGGGCGGAAGGAAAGCAGGAAAGAAGGAAGGAAGGAAGAAGGAAGAAACGGAAGCAAAAGCGGGGAAAGAAAGCCCCTTCAACAAACCGATGCCAAGAACTGCTCTTTGTACTTGCAACACCTTCAGCCCAGCTCTGCCCTGGGCACCACGCCGCGGGCGTAGCGGAGTGCTGATGGTACCGATCGCCTGGGCCTGTGTTGTGCGCTCCGCGCGGTGCGTTTGAAGGGGCATCCAATGCTTGGGGTTTTGGTTTGGTGCAAACCAAGACAAAATAACAATGGTATTGATATTATTGATATAGCACTCTTTTAGTCGGGTTCCCAACCCAGAAGGAATGCTTCCCTCATTCCAGCCGGAAAAGCTGGTTGCAATTGGGTCACAATCTGTTGGGCACGGTGGAAAATTGCTGCCCCTTTCTGTGATGTCGCTTAGTGGCTCCCATCCAACCATGACTTGATCACTAAATGGAGAATTCCACCCACTAGAAAGTCGCAACCTTAAGCCCAATTCCATGCCCCAAAGCTAGGGACCCTTCTGACCGGGCTTAAAACGAAACTGACACACCAACAATTTGAACTGAAATCCGAGTCTTGACACGTGCCAAAGGGCGCCTGTGCGCCTGTGCTTCCAGCTTCCAATGAAAAAAAGCGAAAGGGGGTAACTTATTACCAACTTGTGGCCAAGCAAGACTTTCCGCTACAATGAAAGTTCGAACCAAAAGCCATTGAGTTGTGTGTTTGGAGCCTTTGAGTTGGAAAGCGACATTCATCTTTCGACCAAATCCAACGAGTTTACGAGCAGCGCCCAAACCTCACTGGCTGATGGTTCTGCCAACTTGCATATCAAGCTTCATTTAGGTTCTTGCAAAAATCCCCTGTTTGGATGCTCACAAACGCAGGCCAAGGCAAACTTTTCGCCGTCCACGATTGAAGTGAGGAATGTCCAAGCGCTGACTGAGTGCCAGAGAACCAAATGGCTTCCAAGCAGGACGGACCCAAATGGTTGGTTTC